AATCAGATCCAATCAGATCTGATCAGATCAGATCAGAAAAAATAAGTTGAACGGAACGGAGCCTAAGTTTGAATAGGATAAGTTCAACCTGCCTCAAACATGTTCGATAAAATGTCTAAAAAAGACAACGATGCACGAAAGAAGTTTACTCCGACCTTAAAAATAAAATCATTCTGCCAATCCATAATCATTTTATTTTTGTTGTAGAATTTGTAATATTTTAAATAAGTGAATTTTTAGAATCTAGCTAAACAAATCTTGATAAAAATATAGATTAAAATCTATCCAAGTTAATGTGTACAATTAAAACAGTTCATGAATTTTATATACTTCGCCCGTCTTAATTTAAATTGCATGTCTATTATTCACATTGTCAAAGTTTAATCATTTCACTCATTTTTGTAAGTCGAATATAAAATAATATAGTCATGTCACATTTTGTCATGTAGAGCTTTTGATATAGTTTTTAAATACTATTATAAATATTGTTATTATTATTACTATTACAATTACTATTACTATTATTATTATGACTATAATCATTATTACTATTGTTATTATTACTAATTTTATTATTACCGTTACTATTATTATTAATATTATCATTGTTACTAATATTGTTATAACTATTACTATTACAGTTAATATTTATATTATTATTTTTATTACTATTATTATTAGTATTATTATAGTTATTATTATTATCAATATGATTATTATTACTCTTATTATTATTATTATTATTATTGCTTTTATTATCAATATTTATATTATTACTATTTAGATTATTATTATTACTGATATTATTATTATTATGGTTAATATTATTATTACTATCCTTATTACTATTATTATTATTAGTAATATTTCTATTATTATTATAACTATTATAATAAAAAATAATTTTAATTTTAATCAAATTCATATTGGATCAGATCAGATCTGACCATATCAAATCCAATGAGTTCAGATCTAATCCAATAAGATCAGATCAGATTAAATTAGATAAGATCAGATCAGACTAGATATAAGAAAATTGAGATTATTATAATTATAATTATTACTATTATTACCACTATTATTATGTTATTATTACTATTAATGCTATTAATATAACTACTATTAATATTGTTGTTATTATTATTTCTATTGTTATTATTACTATTACAATTCGTATTACTATTATTATTATGACTATAATCATTATTACTATTGTTATTATTACTAATATTATTATTTCCATTACTAATATTATTACTAATATTACTATTACTATTACTATTATTATTAATATTTCTAGTATTATTGTTATTACTATTATTATTAGTATTATTATTATTTTAGTTATTATTAGACCTCACAAAAAATGACTTACCTGTTTTTTATCTGAAACCCGACCTGAAAATTCTGGGTTTTGAACAAAGTTTTTGATGACCGAACCCGAAGTTGACCGAACCCAAAATGACCCGCTAAAAATGGGTCAAACCCGACTGAATCCGAACCCGACCTGACCGACCCGCTAAAGTAATAGTTTTTCAATATCATACACTTTACTACTCGTTTTTAATGTATAAATTCATATTTTCAGACAAAATTTTAATTATATTTCATAATTATCTTATTTTTTTCTAAAAATTAAGCATTTTTTAAATTCCTTATATTGATTTCTATATCTAAAAAGATTTCAAAATTTAAAATAGAATAATCTAATAGATTTAATACATATTTTTTGATATTTTAAATTTATTTAATAGAAAATGTAAGTGTTAATGTGAATATTAAACATTTATAAAACCAAAGTCATAATTCGTTGGGTCGACCCGAACCCAATGACACTGGGTCATGAACATACAGTTCTCAACCCGAACTCGAAATGACCTGAACCCGAAATAACCCGAATTCGAAATGACCGAACCCGAAACCGACCGATTTGCCAGCTCTAGTTATTATTATTATCACTATGATTATTATTAGTACTATTATTATTATTGCTTTTATTGTCAATATTTATATTATTATTATTATTTCGATCATTATTATTACTATTATTATTAGTATTATTATAGTTATTATTATTATTACTATCCTTATTACTATTATTATTATAATTATTATTACTATTATTATTAATACTTCTATTATTATTATTATTATTATATCTATTATTATAACTATTATAATTAAAAAAATTAATTTTAACTTTAATTTTAATTTTAATCAAATTCATATTAGATCAGATCTTTAAAAAATCAGATCAGGCGAACGAAACGCAAACTTAAAATGGAACATCGAGAGCATAATCCACTGATTATAAGAAATTCGGAGTATGACATACGAGTAATATTTTAAAAGATGCCTCTAAAATGACACCAGTTATTTATACATCAGTTGCTTACACTAGTTCGTTTGGAGTACCTACGGTGTCCTGTTTGTAAAAATGATGGTTCCTACCCCTCCTAACCCTCCCCCTAAACCCCCCACCCCAGCCCCACTCTTGCCCCCCTCCCGCCCCCCCTCCCTACCCTGGCGGGAGGGGGGCTGGGATGGGGGGGTTTAGGGGGAGGGTTAGGGGGGTAGGAATCGTCATGTTTACAATCGGGGCACCGTAGGTACTCCAAACGAACTGATGTAAGCAAATGACACTAGTAGCACATGTGTCATTTTAGACTTCCTCTATTTTAAAATATTAAATAAACACACATCCTAAATCTAATCACACTTTAAAAAAATACTTTTCTTAAATTAGGCAACAATATAGTATCTTAAAAAGGGAATACCCACTAGAGTGTTGGTGTGACATAAGAATGGATGCTAAATGTCTTTCAAAAGGAAGAAACATGTAAAGATTCTGTCTACCTTCATACATACGAAGAATCAAGGATATGTACATATAAAAAGTTGCTGCAATTCTATTGAGCGCCATTAGAAGAGTTCCTTCTATAGTACAAAAAAGAAGGAAAGAAAAGTGCCTGCCGGACTGCTATTACTATTACCATCTCAAGCATTTATTATTTACGCCCTCCGTCCTAAAACATTCTTTCTAAATTGACCAAAAATCATTTTTACACACCTGTTAAAAGTACATTCACTTACCAAAAACGCTCATGTACCTTTTTTTCGCCCAATAGATCTCGCGCATCTCCTTCAAAGAGGAGATAAGCGGACGACGGTGGATCCTTTAATCATACCAAGTTGTATCCTATTGTTGTTATTTTTGAAGAGCGATTTGACTTTGGCTGTTTTCAAACAGCTAAAAATATTGTTTGGCAAATGTTTTTTTCACTTGGTAGTTCGGTCCAAGAAGTCAAATCTGAAAAGCCAAGGAGAATAACTTTTGGATCTGGATGTTAAAAGAAATTGATATTTTATCAATTTAATATATAAATGTTTTTTCAATATATTTTTAAAAAATAAATAAAATAACTGAAAATTAAAAAAAAACCATCTTAATCTCGAGCTATGAAGCCAAAGCCAGCCATCCCATCCATGAGTCCCGATGAGGCATTAACATTGATTTTCAGACAGCTAGAATGTGGCCTCACATTCCCACACACTATGATTTTCTGGATTATTTTAAATCAAATTATATCTATAAAAAAATTTAATGATCATCCACAAATTTAAATACGAAGTACTACGTATATGTTTTGATCCCTTAAAAATTGATAAATTTTATTTTTTACTCCCTTTAAAAATTAATTGGTTTATTAATTCCTATTTTAAATTATTAAGTACTCTGTCAAGATTAACTTATTCTCTATATTCAAATTAACTTATTACACTTCAAGGTCAAAATAAAATGAAGATTTTTAGAAGCTTAATCCAATAGCTATATTATTATTACAGATTTATTTAAAAATTTGGTAAATTGATACGAAGTACATTCAAATAAATATTTTAGCCTAATTATAATTTTTTAGTAAATTTTTTTACAATCTATCTAATGTATTTCCAAAATGTGTGTGTGTGAATATATATATATATATATATATATATATATATATATATATATATATATATATATATATATATATATATATATGTATGTATGTATGTATGTACGTATGTATCTACGTATCCATGTATATAATTTTTTTAAATCTTAAAATAACTAATTTGAAACAACTAATTTTTATCAAATATTTTTTAACAATTAACCAATACATCTAATTGATCAAACCTGCTAAACTCATTAGCCATTGCAGAATAGTCGTCACAAATAGCCAGCTACAACAACAACCGACAACCAACTTCCAAACATGGCCAGTATAACATTAGACACCAATATCAAAAAAACAATGTGCATTGTTATAATGGATTTTTTTTATTTTGGTTTTTCTATAATCGGAACTTTGTAATTAACTTTTGGGAAAAATATTCATATACAACCAAAATATATATTTTATATCAAAATATGATATTTAATGTCCTTATACTAGAATAAAATTTATAATGTCATATAATAGCAAAAAAATATGATATGGTTGTTAAGTTTGGATATTTGAATATGGTGGAAGACAATAAAAGTATAAGTGTAAGGGTCCATTCCGTTTAACTTGTGGGAAAAAAAATTGTTGTAAGGACCAATTTGCAAATGTTGGAAAAAGGTAATGGTCTAAAATTTTAAAAATGTGCATTATGGTCGTATTTAGCCGCATGGGGTGGAAATCAAAGCAGCAAAACCACAGTGTGGCACGGCGGAGGAAGCGCGACGACTGGTAACGACTTCTGGGTCGCACCCCATACCACATAATCGAAGGCATATAGTCTAGGGTCTCTTTAAATCTTTACCGACATACACAGAAACTCAATATCTATGTAATCCATTTTGTACACCGCAGGGATGCACCAATTTTTGTGTTGGTGTAATGCTATTTTTTGTTAACGCACTAACACTTTATGTCAGTCTAAATTTTTGTTAACACACCAATACTTGTGTGTCAGTGTAAACCATCAAAATATTAATGCGTTAATAAATACCTTTAGCGTACAAATAGGATATAAATTTTGAAATACATGTACCATCCTCCATGCTCATATCATCCCTCTTTTTTCAATGAGTTGAAGAAACTATTCCGTGTCATTTTCAATCAATCATAATACAAACCTTAAACACAATAATTAGACGGCGTTGCCCCGTAAAAGTGTAAAACAGTGGCCTCGGCGAGAAATATAATGTACTGTAAAATTTGAACACAAACACAAACCTTCTCTATCACTTCTTCATAGTCCAACCTTCATTCCTTCCTTCCACCGCCACCGGTAAAATGCAGCTCCTGCCGCCGGCAGCCGCAGCCGCAGTGTTTCTCCCCCTGATACTCGCGATTTTTCCATCTGCGGCGGCGGAAGCTCACAACATCACCAGCATCCTGGCCAAGCACAAGGAGTTCTCCACCTTCAACCACTACTTATCCCTCACCCGCCTTGCCGGGGAAATCAACAGCCGCCGGACTATTACGGTCTGCGCCGTCGACGACGCCGCCATGGCGGATCTGCTCGCCCAGCAGCATTCCATCCACACTATCAAGAACATCCTCTCCTTACATGTGCTCCTGGACTATTACGGCCGGAGGAAGCTCCGCCAGCTCGCCAATGGCTCCGCCCTGGCCGCCACTATGTTCCAGCCCACCGGATCCGCTCCCGGATTCGTCAAAATCTCGGATCTGGAAGCCGGAAAAGTCGGATTCGGTAGTCAGGGCGAGGGAGAACCGCTCCAGGCCACCTTCGTGAAGGCGGTGGAAGAGATCCCCTACAACATTTCCGTCATTCACATCACTAGGGTTCTGCCGTCGGCGGCGGCTGAAGCGCCGGCTCCCGGCCCCACCAAGACGAGCATCACGAACATAATGTCGGCTCACGGGTGCAAACTATTCGCCGATACGCTCCTCGGATCTCCGGCGAAACAGACGTTCGAGGACGACATCGAGGGCGGATTAACGATTTTCTGCCCGGCAGACGAGGCGATGAAGAAATTCATGCCGAAATTCAAAAATCTAACCAAAGACGGGAAGGAATCTCTGCTGGAGTTTCACGGAATCCCAGTGTACTATCCGCTCCAGACGCTGAGGTCAAACAACGGCGACATGAACACTCTGGCCACCGACGGGGCCAACAATTTCGAGGTCAACATTCAAAACGACGGCCAGGAAGTGACGCTGAAGACGAAGATTACCAAGGCGAGGATCACAGAAACTCTGTGGGATAAACAACCGTTGGTCATTCTCTCGATCGACGAGGTCTTAATGCCCAAGGAGCTCTTCAAGCCGGCGGCCGCCCCCACCCCTGCTCCGTCGCCCTCGAAGGTGGCGGACAGGGCGGAGTCTCCTAAACACTCCGGAAAGAACCACAAACCAGTTAAATCTCACACCACCGACTCTCCGGCCGATGCTCCGGCGGGTGAGGTCGCAGATCAGAACGCTGCTGATGCTAACGGTGCCGTTGCTTTCGACGGGGTAATGTCTATTACTACTGGGCTGAGTTTGTTGGGTGCATTTTTACTGCAGCTGTAATTTTGTGTCTAGATTTTTCTTTTATTTTCTCTTTCATCTCTAGAGATTTCAAACATTTTTAAAAATGGCAAAATAAGTGTGGCCTTTATTATGACAATTACTTTAATCCTTATATATATATATATATATATATATATATATATATATATATATATATACTCTTAAGTTGTTTTAAAAAATATAAAATTGTCTTAGGTTTTTTTTGTTTGAACTTTTAAGCTTGTTGTATTGAGATTTCATTTTATTGTGTAATGTGTATGCGAAATTTCAAAGTCATAAATATTTTACTCACAAAATTTATAAACTTGCCATTTTTGTACCTTATTAATTGAAAAATTTAAAAGTAAACACTTAAATACATAAATGGTAAGTTTTTTATTTTGTGACTAAAAAATTTGTAATTCTAGCATTTCTTTGTGTCTAGTTGAGGTGCTTTGGGTGTGTGTAACTTCAATCAAGTGGTTTGTAATTATTTATCATTATTTGTCTAATTGTAATGGCTTCTTCTTTTTTACTCCCTTCGCTCCAAATTAAATAGTCTATTTACTATTTATGTGATCAAATTTTACACTTTTTTTCTTTATTTTTGCTAATCATTTGATAAAATAATATAATCACGTCAACACTACTTTTGTAGATCTTTTGATATACTTTTTAAATATATAATTTTTATTTTTTAATTGTACACTATTTAATTTTTTATATAAAATGATTTAAAAATAACTTCAATCAAATATCGTAAATCGAAATAGGTGACTTAAATTAGACGGAGGGAGTATTTTACTTTGATTGGATTAATACTTTTTCTAGTTCGTCTAACACATAAAATTACTTTTACAAACAAGTTTTTTGCGTCATTTAATTCCGAAGTCTTTAAAAATTGCTCAAATTCTCTCCGAATTTTAAAGATTACACATATGGTCTTGAACATTTAAAAATGTTACATCAATGATCTTTCTGTACCAGATTTAGAAATGCGTTAATCAAACAATCATCTCGTGCAACTGTGCAAGTATTGATTTAGCAATTCTGTAATATGTTCTTCTCAAACCTTATTTTTAGGCTATATTTTTAACCTGCTTTAGTCGTCGATTTACAAACTCGAATCCTGAATATGAGTTGATCAAGCTCTTCATCAATCTCTAGCATCATCATCAACCTCCAACAAATTTCAAAGAAATCATTGATGCAATATTTTTAAATGTTCAGAGACCATTGGTATAAATTTTGAAGTTTGGGAAGAACCCGTACAATTTTTCAAAAATTTAAGAGTAAATGACACAAAAAACTCTTTTGCAATTAGACCTGCTAATTGCACTTGATATCTTATGGCTTACGGAGTATGAATATCATTCATCAAAATAAGAAATTGTTGGTGGTATTTTGAGATTACAAAACACTTTTTGAAACTATTCAAAGATTTTAATCAGAGTATGATCTTAAAACATGATTTACACAAGAGAAATGCTCTTGGGGTACAATTCAATGTGTAAAAATTATTGAAATATTGATGAATAATATTTTCTCCATCCCTAATTAAACTTTTTAGTTTTTTTTATCTAATAAAAAATACATTTCATTTTTTTCCATAAAATTGATAAGAGCAATACTAGAGGTACTCAATTTGAGTGAGTAAAAATTTTAATGTTCAAATGAAGTAGACTAGCATTATTGAACAAATAAATATTGAACCAACCACTATCCTCTCCTCTAACTCTCCATATTGAAAGAAGTGCATATTTACAATCAAATGATTTTTTTTTAAATTGTGCAAAAGATTTATAGAAAGGGTCTCAATGCAAGACCCCCAACGAAATATTGACAAAATTGGTAGTCACACACGAACGAACAGATGCGATTAAGATCGAATATATATTCGAGGGCTCTCTTCAATTGTCGATACACTTAAGAAGCATTATAACGATCTAGAACTTCTACAAAAAATCATTCAGCGTTAAACGTCAATGCCATTTATAAAGAGAGAGACTTCAGGGTAATGACCTAAGATGTAATACTCATCGCCATTTATAAAGAGACAGACTTTAGTGTGATGACCTACGTGTTGGGATTTGTGGAGGCTTGGTGTTGGCCAGGCCGAACTCATGTTATGAAACCTTAGACGTAGGCTCTTCCTACATATAGCAAACGAACTTGTACTCTCTCCGTTCTTCAAAACAATTCATGTTTTAACTTTTGCAAGATTTAATTTTGTAATCTGATTTTCCAATTAAATCATTAACGTCGTTGAAAAGAAAGGAGTGACAAATTACTTAAATCACTTATTATATTAATACAAAATGGATGGAGTATATTAGAATGACTTTATTTGGATATATTAACCATTTTAATAAAAAAAGAAGTGTTTTAGTAAAAGAAAAAAACGTGAAAAAAGAAGTGTTTTCCCAAACGGATGGAGTATTTGTAATCCGAGCACCACAAGTGAAATACCATTTCTCATGTTGGAGTCGTGGATTAGGAAAATCAAACCAGTTACAAATTTTTGTGTCATTTGTGCTCCGTTTTTTGCTCGTTTTTTCACATATATTTGTGTGTTTTGCATTTAATTTCCCAACAATTGATATCAAAGCGACGTTCAACAGCTAGAACACAGATTGCGCGAAAATTGTCACCTAGGGTTTTAGATCTGAAGGGTCATGCAGTAAGGTTGAGCCGCAGCCGGTGAAGGACCAAGCAGCAGGCACCGCTAGTTCAATCGAGTTGTGCAATAGAGGAGCCGCCACTAGTTCGAGGATCCGTCGCGCGCATGGGAGAAGACCGCTGCAAGTGTGGAGATCTAGTGCGCGTAGCAGGAGCGAGCGAGAGCGCCGCGGCGATCGCAAAAATACTGAGCCGCCGAGCCATCGCCGCAGTACTCACACAGTCCATGTCCGCACGGCATGAGCGCCGCCGGCCAACATGAGATCAAGCCGCCACGAACCAGGTAGTCCAGATCGAAGAAGTGCAGGTCTCGCAGACCGCCGCCCACCGAGAAGCACCGCTGCTGTTGCCGATCAGCGCCCTTTCCAAAGGAGAAACCTGTCAGTCGTAACAAAAAAAAATGGAAAGAGGCAGTGGGCCGATTGTTCTAACCCAGTTTTTTCCTTTTGTAGTTTGGCTTGGTTTTGGGCTTGATTGGATTGAATGGGTTTGGATTCGGTTCGGACTGATTTAATTGGTGCGATGGGTCTAATTTTTTGAAGAAATCAGACCGATCTAAAATCAATTGTACCGAGTATCTCGTCTGGTCCTTTGGGATGGCAGAAGATGGGAAGTGCCATAAAATAGAGAAAGTACACACGTAATTATTACGGAGTATTATTATTATTATTATTATTATTTGAAAGCATATGCCCGGTAGCTCGTTATGTAAAAAAAATTATCATTTATCATTTAAATACACATGCAAGAATACTTTAAAAGTTAAACCTATAATAGCCAGTAAAATATATCATCACATGGAGAGTTGTGGCAGTGTACCTGAGAAATAATTAAAAGATGGTCGAGTTTGCATTTGTAATTTGATGGCTAACATTTTCCTCGGGTCCATGTGTGAAATGAGCCAGCGCGCCGGGTTTTGCGTACCATGCGAAATGCACTACAAATACTTGACCATTCCGCGACCCTCCACGCTGACTTTTGAAGCTTGGAGAGACTTCTTTTTAGGTGCTTTTAGTTGTTGCAACTTCTTATTCATCTGCAAGTTGAAAGAGCATAGTTCAAATGCGCCAAAAGCTAATTCTCGTTTTTTTTGGAATTACTCCGTATTATTAATAGGGAGTATTGCACAAGTACGGAGTATAATATAAAACACATTTGGCTTACAATATCTTCTAAATGTTCTTGCTATAGTTTTTATATACTACTCCCTCCGTCACATATATTTCTTCTCATTTTGACTTGGCATGCTTCTTAATGGAAGGTTACGAAGAAATATATACATACTCCCTGCATCAATGTCCTATGGGAGTCGGCATGGAGAAGTTCCGGGGTTTCCCATACATACATAGTGACATAATATTTGAATTCATCTTGTTTTAGCATTAGTATAAAAGTGTGGTGCGTAATCTTGAATCCACTTGAGAGCGAATATAATGCTCAAAAGGCTCAAAGCATAGTCAGCCAATTGAAAGAGATACTCATAACTAATATCTCGAAATATAACAAAATACCAAGGACTAACCTTGAGGCGACGCTGGTCTTGCACTATTTGTTTCGCCCTGGCCCTAACTTCCTCTGGATCAACCTTCGATTGAGGCCGAACAACAAAATCCATCAGCATAGCTTCAGGTCGTGAAGTAAGTTGCCTGGATTTGGATGACTGACCAGACTTCACCCCCCTGCAAAATTTTCATTAAGATTCAATTATATATCTTGGAGATACTGGGAATGTAGGCAAAGTAATGAGGCACGTCGCGCGTGTTTCTCATAATTGAATAGGTATGAATCGTGAAGTTTTACTGTGAAAATTCAGCCAAGTCAAGGTCATCATCCCTAGATTGCATTCCAGAAGCTTTATTAATTGGCCTATCATGAAGTAAATGATACAATAAGTCATCAATGGGACCGGACACATCTAAATCTCATAAAAACAAGAATGCAATGAGTTGTTAGATACTTTTTCACAGGTGGCCTTCATAAGCAGCCCTCTCTTCTTGAAAGTTCTTCATGTCCTCAAACCTTGTACTCTTGTTGAAAATGGGTCGACTCTGAACCAATTGAGTTTGAGTGTAAGGCAGCAAGCTAAAAAACATGTATTGGCCCATAAAACAATTTTTGCCTAAGCATAAATCCCGCCAGAGACTCAAAAGGTTTGTGCATAGATGTTAGGGGTGAACCGGGGGTCTTATCAAGATGGAAAGTTGATGGGGAATTGGTAAAAGAAATGAATGGGCAGTGTTATAGGCCGAGTTGGTGAGGGATGAAAAGGGGAGGTATGGGTGTTCTCTTGGCTTGAGAATGCAAAGGAAAATGCAGGAGATATGTTCGAAGAGGCCTGGGTGAAATGGTGATATATGCAGGAGTTCTTTTTTGGTATTTTTGGATGAAAGNTGATTCTTGGGAAATAATGGGGGACAAAGGGGATGGGTGATGGTTGGTTTTATTGGCCTTATATTGGGTCATTCATGGAAGGTATGTGGGGACTGATTTGGTGGGTGGAGTGTCAATAAACTCACAAAAGTCTTTTGTCCTTTTGTTATTGTTTATTCAGCCTAGGTGGGAGACACAAGGGGGACAATGGTTGGTCAATGTTGGGGAATAAAAGAGGGGTTGTTTTTGGCGGGTAATGGTGGGTTTATTGTGTGAAATAAAGGAGTGGTTTTGGCCTGGTATCCTCGGCTCTCAAATGAGGGAATTGAAGTGTTTTGTTTGGTTGTGGTTTATGCAAAGAACTTCTGCCAGGGGTGTATTAGGGGTGATATGGGGTTCATGGGATGCCCTAAGTTTGGCCAAAGAAAGAAAGGAAAAAAGGGAAATAACAATAAACAAAATGTTTTGGTTTACACACTCTTATTTTCTGCCATAGGCTAAAAATAAGTGTAGGAAAACATTATTTTGAAAGGAATCAAATGACAAGGAACTTTGGATGTTTAGGGAAGGGATGGGGGGTGTTGGTTCGGCCTAGGTGGGGTGTAGGACAGCCCTGGTGTTGGTTTGGGCTTTAGGGAAGGGCGAAGGAGTGGATTCAACCCTAATAACGTCACCACACTTTGGATTTATTCCCCTGATCCGTCTTTCCTATTGTGGGCTAAGGAAAGTCTCCGTTGATGCTCCCGGATATCTAACATCCTCCCCTTCTTCGAAAGAGTTTGCCCTCAAACTCGAGTTTTCTTTAGGCTCTTGGTAGGGGACGGACTTGAACTTGCGTGCATCAAAAACTTCGATCCTGCTTTCTCTCAGTTCTCGGGGAATGAAAATCTGCAAATGCCTCTTTGGGCACTTAGAATAAATGTCCTCACTTCCTTGTACTCCTTCATGACTTCCCTGCAAATTAAATACACAAACATTTGCACCAAAGGCCGTTAGTGATAACAAGGTTCCGGGATGGACATTTTGGGAGAAGTGGCTGTGCGAGGTTTTTTTGAGAGGACACAAGGGTATATCCGGCTCAAACAATGGTTCAAAAATCAATTTTTTGAACCTTGAAGGGTTTTGTTGGGCAAAAATGGAGACTTGGAGAGTATGGAAGAGGGTTTCTTTTGGGGCAGTAAGGTTTTTGGGATTGATGGATAAAGAGTAAACTTCTTAGCACCCACCATAAATGAGTACGTGTTAGCAAACCCGTCATACATAACTCTCCGGTCAAATAACCATGGTCTCCCGAGAAGAATATTACAAGCTATCATGGGTATTACGTCACACCACACGTCATCTTGAAAGGACTGACCCATGTTAAAAGAGACCAAGCTACGTGTATTCACGCGTATTCCCTCATCTAGATTCAACCACTGAATCTCATAAGGCTCCGGATGTGGTAACATCTCTAATCTGAGCTTTTCCACCGCTGTTTTTGAAACAACATTGGCATTACTTCCGCTATCGATGATCATTGAGCACACCTTCTTTTGAACGGTGCAACGGGTATGAAAAATACTCTCTCGGTGTGCGGACTCATCCCGGGCAGTCGCATGACTAATTGTCTTTTGAATGACCAAAAGTTCACCTTCGTCGGGGCCAACAATTTCCTCTTCTTCTTTCGGCTCTCCTTGAACCCAAAAGGGGTTTATTTCTTCTTCTTCACATTCAACAATAGCCATGATCTTCTTGTTTGGACAATCACTAGCATAGTGACCAATGCCTTGGCAACGAAAACACTTTTGGACTCGGCTACTTGATGAACTAGGTTTTGAAGGAGAAGGAGCACTTGGCGATGAAATAGGGTGCATGGTTTTGGGATTTTTAGGG